CAGCATGCGCCACTGCGACGTCAGCGCCTGGTGCTAACTTCAGGCTGCTGGCGCCTCTTGCTAGGGTTTAGGGTTTAGGGTTTATAGTTTGGGGTTTAGGGTTTAGGGTTAAGGGTCTAGGGTCTAGGGTTTAGGGTCTAGGGGTTCCCGGAGGAAGAAACACGGCCAAGGAACACCCAGCAGTACAGCAATCTGCCGGGAGTCGTCGTCCTGAGTCCCAGGTTCAACCATGGGCTTGCTGAGTTGTTGCTAAGACACAAGTCTCATACATCCCTACGTCGGAGTGAGGGAGTGGATTCTTTGTCAGTAACTTTGGGCAGCATTCGAACAATGCCTAAAACAAAGGCACTGATAAAAAAAACACAAAAACAAGGCTTTGGGCTTTGGGGTACATTATAATTTGACATACTACGACAATATTGGGACAATGCGGAGATGTTCGCGCTAATTACTCATATTTCCAAATCATCCACCCACTGTGGGTAAAACAAACTGATCTTGGTCAGGCCATTCACAGCCACAGTCTCGGCCGCGGCTGACAAGCTGGAACATTCTGGAACCAAGGGCAATCACTTTTCTGCAAGCTCCATGCGAAGAGAAACCCACAGGTAACGCAGCTGAAGTTGCAGTGCAGGAACAGCAGTCCAGGAGGGTTTCAACCAGCAGCAATAAAGGATCAAAAGCGGACGAGAACAAGTGCCTATATGAGAAGAGTTATCCGATGAGGTTGGCACACACCTCCGCTAGGAAAGTCTTGAAACGATAGCTGGCTACTACAGCAGGTCGAACCTCAATGTAAGGACCCTTTGAATGCTAAAACCGCAAACATCCATGCGAGGGTCGTGGTGGTGGTTTTTATCATGCACTCGTGGGAAAGGTCGTTCACCTTCTCCAGGTATTCAAACTCCTTCTGCTGGTAACCTCCGGATTTATCCAGGGGTCTCGGGCTTGGGCTTGCAGATCCGTAAGCTCTGCTGCACTTTAGCATAAGCTGCTTTTCGACGGGTCCGAATATGCATTGCAGAATTTATTGGAGTCCTACAAAAGCGCGGATTGTGCTTTCAGCAACCCTTCAGCATAGCGTGTTGAACTCCTCGTACACTCTGGGTGGAGGCTCTGGAAGGCAAAACCATCTCTCACCCAAAGCCACAAGGAGCAATATGGAAGCATGACAGTTTTGAAACACTCGACTAAGGTTTGGGGCAATACCATAAATATAGTGAGGAACCCTCTGAATCATCGTTTCCCCCTAATTTTAACACCCCCCCGCCCACTGGGAAACATTATTTCTCGCCTGCACTCCTACGTTGTTGTGGCCATGTACCCTCACCTCTGAGAGGCAAAGGAACTGAACTCACGCGTTTTGGTACACACTCGCTCTTGCAATCCTAACCGTAAGGCTCTAAGGATTCGCGTTTTAAGGCTTTTGGGTCAAAGACCATACTGTATAAGGCTTTTGGCTTATTTTGAGCCTAGGGTAATACTTCGGATGCTGAGATCATCGCTAAACTCTGCACGAGAAAGCACTCGCTTCTGTACGGGTTAAGTAATCAGATACGGGCCCCCAGGCCCTGGCGACTCCATGTTGGTACCCAACAACGGCACAATTGTGCTGTAGTCTTGGCTCTGTTACATTCCTCTTCGGGTGCATTCCATGCTCCCCGGAGATGATCTTAGTATTACGCTGTACTACGTGGAGGGCTTAAGAACAGAAGGAGGTGATCACCAAATATGCCGACGCTTAATGAAGCTGTACTATATTGGGGAACCCTAAACCCTACCTAAACCCCCCAAAGTGGTAAAATAAGGGCCCAAAACCTACAAAAAAGGCTACTGTTCTACCATAGGGGGTCAGGGTATACCTTAAACCCAAGAAGGGACCCTAAGTTAGAGAACTACCCACCTGCTGGTGAAGGTTCCGGGTGTATAGCCAGGGCCCATGGTTTCAGCTTGGGGGTTAGTCTCCTTCTGAGGTTTACGGCATCGGTTTAGGGTTTAGGGTTCTAGGGTTTAGGGTTCAGGGTTTAGGAACTTGGATTGGGGTTTAGGGTGGATGGTCTCGGGCTTCGGGATGCGAACGCGCGACTGCCTTCTGCTCGTATTGTACACATAACATCTGGCAAGAATGGAAAGGCCACAGCGGCGGAGAGGCTAAAAAAAGACTGTTGGGGAAGACATGTTTCACACTGCGGCATGGGGGGAGGGTGTCTATAGTTTCCCTACATACACCGTGAGCCGTAAACACAGGCAGACTCTTGAAACAATAGCACACGGTAGACAACCAGGTAAGGCGGCAAATGTCGGACAAAGTCCAGTGTGCATACTTCGGCTGAGTGGCCAGCGCGAGTGCAACAAAGACTGATGGTTGGTAATGAAGCCTTATAAGGAATATGTATGTTTAGGCCGCTACGCCCGTAAATTGCTCTAGCCTTGACTCCAACAAGTTGTTAAGCAGGTGCTTGGACAACATAGCACTTGTAAGTCACCAAGCAGAAGCCATAGGCAGCCGTATTCCTAAACCCGGCGAGGCTACAAGCTCGGTCGCCTTTCTCGTTGCATTTGGCTCCCCACTCATTGGCCTTCGTTCCGCTCAGGAGTTGTGAGGGTCCACTTGTCCGGAAGTTTGGGATGTTTGGGGTGGGGTTTAGGGTTTAGGGTCCACAGAAGTTTGGGATTTTTGGGAGTAGGGTGAGGGTGACTGTCTCGCATTTCTCTCAGGGCTCTCGGAGCTCATAATCCAAAGTTTCCCCCCTCCCGAACACGACACTATACAAGCTGCCTGAGCAGATTGGAGCCTAAGGTGTGTAGAGTTCGGGGGAGGTCATCAAGTTGTCATCTCGGGTTTAAGGTCCTGTGCCCAAAGAGAGCCCGGTTCCATGCTCAGGCATACCGATCTTCCTGAGCCAGAGAGGAACCAAGCAGACGCTCAGCAGACTTGGCGTAAGAACATACACAAACCCAAAGACTCCAAAAACCCTTAATTAAGGAATATACCTTAAATCTTACGAGGGTGCCCATTATAATTTAAGGTACGTTCCTTAATTAAGGAGTTTGGGATTCTCTGGGAAGCACGACATTTCTCCACCCACCAGGCACCAGGAACGGCAACCCTTCACCCGAGACCCAAGCCCTAAACCCTACACCCTACACCCTGAACCCTACACCCTACATCTAAACCCACTACTCCCCCCAACACCCCCCCCTACTGCAACCCAAAGCCTCCAAGCCTGAACCAACGATCCGAAGTCCCTCACTGCAAGTGCGTCGTCGTCGTCGTAGTGGTGGTGGTGGTGGTGGTGGCTGTAGTAGTAGTAGTAGTAGTAGTAGTAGTAGTAGGAGGAGGAGGAGGAGGAGCAGCAGCAGCAGCAGCAGCAGCAGCAGCCAGCAGCAGCAGTGGATACAGCAAGGACAGACAGTAGTACATCAACAACACTCCCTATTAGAAAAAAATATATTGAATATGAATATGAATGTATATATATATATATATACATATATATATATTCAATATGCAAATGTCTACATATTCCCTTCCCCCCCCCCCCACCCCCCTACATGTCCGCGAGCCTGCTTGAGCGCATTGAGGCAGTCGACCTTCAACGCCATCTGATCTAAGCTGCCGCCCCGGCAGAACCTTTGGGCGCCAAGCACAGAGTTGTGAGAAGAGGCTTTCTGCCTCGCTACCTACGTACCCCCTACCTACCTACCTACCTACCCACCCACCCACCGACCTACCTACTTACCTCCCTAGCTAGCTAGCTGGCTGGCTACATATCTGCATGCATACATATGTATATACAGATGTGTATGCCAATACCAATACTACTGCTGCCACCAATAGCAGAGCCAATATGGTTCCATGGATGGCCCACTATCGGGTTTAGCGCCGTTGTGGCTCAGGCCTTAAAGCTTAGTGCTTCAAGGCCTGAGTGTTGAAGATTGATGGCTGAAACGGGCGCAGGCCCTAAAACTTGAAGTTAAAGCCTTCAACACTCAAGCCCTAAACTCTAAACCCTAAACCCTTCAAGCCCTAAGCCCGGGGAAACCAGACACCGAGAAGACGATGAACACTTCACGCGCAAAGCTGCAGAGCCCAAACCCTAAGGGTCCAAAGGACCCAATAATAAGGTGCTTGGGTTACGGATAGTAGTTATCTAGGTTAATATTTAGGGGAGTATATGACTATTGGGTACTTGGACCCTTGGGGAAACAAAATGGTGCAGAGCGGATGTCCTGCTCCTTTTTTGACATCCTTCCATGAGTGTATGTCTAGACATATGTACGAACACTATGGCATGCTACGCCGCCGACCTAGGCACTGCATCTGTGCTCAAACACCCAAAGACTCCAAAAACCCTTTATTAAGGAATATACCTTAAATCTTTTGAGCCCTGAAACCCCATGGAATTCGCTTCAATAACGGACCGAGGCTCCAGGAACAAGGATCCACCAAGCTGTGGAACTCACCTGCATGCAGCAGAACTTGCGAATTTCAAGACTTCATACCCGGGCTGTGCGTCGTGGCTCGGGTATGTGGGGGTCCCTAGAACACAGCCCTTGCTCTACCAGATCTCCACAGCAGCTTCACGCTCCCTTGAAAAGCAACAGGCCCTAACCCCTAAACCCTAAACCCTAAAACCCTAAACCCTAAACCCTAACCCCTAAACCGTTTCTATGGAGTCCCGGCCCTACCAAACTTAGCTGAGCCTGTCCTTTTGGTACACATCCCCACAAACGCCATAGTAGAAGCCCTAAAGTTCATCCTCGTGCCCTTATAAGGTAGAGCAAAAGCGATCCTGGAACCTAAATCCCTGGGGCCCTAAAAAACCCTACAAAGCCCAAAAGCCCCAAACCCTTCACCCCCGAATCCCTCACAGAACAACAGCTGCTGCCTTTGAGGCAACGCCGGAGGCGATCACACGTGGCCGGAGGCGAGTCCTCCCGAAAGCAAGGTGCTACAGTTTAATCCGACTCTTGGGGCTTAGGGCTTTTTTAGGGTATAGAGGTTTAGGGTTTAGGGGCTTTAGGGGCTTCAGGGTTTAGGGTTCAGGGGTTTAGGGGCTTTAGGGGGTTCAGGGTTTATAGGGTTTAAGGGTTTCGGGTTTACAGCTTAAGATTTGGGAGTTAGGGTTCATCTTGGGGACTAGGGAATGGTGGAATGGCTTGTAGAGATTCGCAGAAGGGACCTCATCGGACGATCATAGGGTTTAGGGGCTTCAGGGTATAGGGTTTCAGTATAGGGTTTAGGGCCTTGGGATCCATCGCGTCCCTACTAAGAACCTATCCGGACCTGATCCAGAGCCTCAAACTCTGAAAAACAGCAGTCAAGCCCCAAACTCTAAAACAACCTTAACCCTAAACCGTAATCCCCTAAACCCTAAACCGCTAGACCCTAAACCCTAAATTCTCTAAATTCCCTAAACTCTAAACCCTTAAACCCTAAACCCTCAACCCTAAACCCCTAAACCATAAACCCTAAGACACCGTGCGTTCGAAGTCGCAAGGCCCAACAGATCGATCCGATCCCCCCCGCTGCGCCTTCAAGCGGAGATCTCTGCAGCTGTACATCCTGCTATAGAGCGCATCGAAGCATCCTCCTGCAAGGTTGGCTTTAGGGTCTATAGGGTATTGACCTGCAAGGGTGGGTTTAGAGTTTAGGGTTTATAGGGTATTCACCTGCGAGGGTGGGTTTGGTGTCTCCATTAAATGGCAGGGGGGAGGGGGGGGGAAGGGACCTCACACGGGAAAGTGCCCGAAACACTTTGCTTAGAGGTTACGGGTTTAGGGTTTAGGCGCCATTGTAGCTGCGAGCAGAGGCATTCTCAAGATCTCTGACTGTTGGTTCTCTGCACCAGTCGCGAAACTCGAACGGAATCAAACTGCCCAACGTACTGCTGATAATATAAACCCCTCAGTACATTAAGGACCCTAAACTATGGGAATTATGGTACAGTATATTCCCCCTAAACCCCTAAACCCTAACCCTTGAACCCTAAACCCTCATCCCTAAACCCTAAACCCTAATCCCTAAACCCGAAACCCAAATCCCGAAGCCCTCAACCCTAAACCCAAAACCCCTAGATCCCTATACCCTAGAACAGAGTCAAACTGCCCAAAGTAGCCCCGACTCTTTTTGCCGAATCCCTAAACTCGAAGACGGGACCCTCTTCTTCCACAGGACCTGGGGTTTTGGGGTTCGGGGTTTAAGGGTTTAGGGGTTGAGGGTTTAGGGTTTAGGGGTTTGGGGGTTTAGGGGTGTAGGGTTTACGGGTTCAGGGGTTTAGGGTTTAGTAAGGGGTTTAGGGATTTAGGGTTTATAGGGGTTCAGGGGTGTGGGGGTTTAGGGGTTTAGGAGTTCAGGCTGCAAGGAATTGAAGAAGAAGGAGCCCCGGAGGGTCACGCGTTCTTAAGTTACGGCACAGTTTTCGGAAGCTTAGGGTTTAGGGTTTAGGGGAGGATTCTGTGGAATGGGCTCGTAACGCACGCCTGCCAGCAAAAAGGTTAAGACAGTTCAGATATGCCTGTGAAAATGACTTTCAGGAATCATGTAGCCTTGAAACTTAGGGCGTCGCATGTTTTCTCTGCATGGCTTCTGAATGTCATTCTCAGAGGCATATGTGCGTGTTGACATATGATGGCAGGCATGGGTTCAAAGCCCTTTTTTCCTTCCATAGAAACCTGGGTTCGAAACCCGTCGCGCTGTCTTGACTTTTGCCGGCAAAGCCCCCTTTTTTCAGACAAAGTTGGCGGCAGCCCTCCCCACCACCCCCTGCAGCCCTTTCCAAAGAGAAGTCCTGTCCTGGAAGCGCCTAGAATCCAATGCGAAAGCCTCCAAAACCGGAAAACCTGCAGAAAAGCGGTCGCGCGGTAACTTAGGTGCTGTGGTCCTAAGAATCCTCCTAAGAATCCTGGAATTTGAACCCCATGGTCTGAGCCCGTCAACATTCGGAGGCTCCGTCGGGCCCACAAGAATAGAACTACTGTTGATGATATATAAATCCTTAGCATAACCATAAGGACCCTAAACTATGCGTATAATGGCATATTCCTTATTAGGGGTGATGCAGGATTTATATCATCAACTGTACGATCTCTATACCTTAGGTTATAGGAGTCAGCAGGGTTGTGGTAGAAACTAACAAACATTCCTGAATACACCTGCTGTAGGCCGGACTATGGGGGGCCTTATGTTAACAACCAAATTCGAGTAGTGCTTTAAACGTGATGCGTGTTATCATGGAATTGTAGTGCACACCATCAGAATAAGTGTGCAGGGCAGGGTGCGGTGCGGAGTTATGCTCAGGAAATGTAGGGATTATAGTGCTACCACCGTATCTTCCGACCCCATATTAAAACCCTCATTCCGAAGACATAAAGTGTACAATTGGAACCTACTTTGGTGACTAAAGTCTACAACTAACAATACGTAGCAATTAAGATCATTATACTTTGCGCTATTTGGAGTTTTAGCATACGGGGTCGGACTAATTACTCATCCGATTCCTTAGGGTTTTGTATTGTCATTATACGACAATATGCCTCAGAGTATAACGCTGGCTCTGGTGCTATCCGTACACTTGGAGTCTTAGGAATATTAAGGCCTCAACCCACCCTAACCCTAAACCCAAACCCTGGACCCCTAAACACAAAACCCTAAAGCCTAAAGCCTAGACCCTAAACCCAAACCCCGAAAAGACAGCTGCCTCGCTTCGCTGGCATGTTTTTCACCGGTTCGAGGCACTCGGCCAGGGTTTCGTTAAACCTGGGCCCGGGGGGGTTTAGGGATGTTTAGGGTTAGTTTAGGGCTCAGGCCCACCCCCGGTGTAGGCCTCGATGCTTAGAATAGGGCTGTGGGGCATACCCAGAGACTCCAAAACCCCTGAATTAAGGAATATACCTTAAATCTTATTAGGGTTCTTATTATAATCTACGGTATGTTCCTTAATTCAGGGGTTTTGGAGTCCCTGGGTACTTCAGTCCAGCTGTAACAGGAACCACTCAGAGGAAGGTTTCTGGGTGATGCTGTCGACGAGAAGAGGGCCTTTGAGGTACATTGACAGTACCGCTGTAATAAAGACCCCCAAAAGCAACACTGGTAGCTATTCATGCTTCAACATTGGGGATTATAGACTTATGGGTAGCTCTCTCAATTAGGGTAGATTTTTTAGGTCCCCAATACAGTACGGCACCCGTATGAAAAGGACCCTAAAATGGAACCCTTATGGCTTCTGTAGAGAGCATGCTTTGCGGCTTGTAGCAGCATCTTCGCAACTATCGAAGGAGGAGTTCTCCGCTCCCCCAGCGCGTGGGCTTTGATAAAGGGAAGGAGGTGCTCAACCCTAAACCTTAGGCTCTAAACCCCTGAACCGACCCCAAACCCCTAAACTTGGCCCTAAACCCGCTCAACCCTAAACCTGAGGCTCTAAACCCCTGAACCAACCCCAAACCCCTAAACCCGAAACGCCAGATCCCTATTCCCTCTTGCACACACACAAACGCAAACTTGCCAGCGATGTACTGAGTCCGGTCAAGGGGCCGCCCTAAAACTCGAAGCCCTGACAGAGTTTAGCACAATGTGCCGTAAGCCCTACCTTGACCCCCGAAAC